ACCAAGTCCTGCAGACCTGTCCGTCTTTGCTTAGCACTGGGGTTACAGGCGTACACTACAGTGCCTGGCTCTTATGTGGATTCTGAGGATCCAAAGTCAGTCTCGCCGGTTGTGGTGGCGCACGCCGGTAGGATTTGCTGAAGGAGGCGGAGGCAGGAGGATCACGAGTTCAAGGCCAGCCTGGGCCAAAGTCAGTCTCCATGCTTGTGCCGAAAGCCCTTTACTCCCTGAGCCATCTCCCAGGCCCCCGAGCTCTTGTTCATTCATCTACTTTTCCACACAGCCCTGCAAGACCATTGAAGCAAGCGTACTTCGCATCTTACCCACCAGTAAATCTGAGAAAAGCTGCTTCTCTAAAAATCACACACTTGACTGGACTGCCCTTCCCTGTGGCACACCCCGAAGCATCCATGCTGTGTCAGAACATGACATGCCCATGGCCCCCTGAGTAAAGAGTCCTGTAATTCATAAATGCAGCGATCGGATCGGGCCAGACAACATTAAAAGTTATCCAGACAATCATTTTCTGCTTGGAGGGAAAGAGAGAGTTATGATTTATTAAATGAACTGTCTCTGTCTCTCCGGGAATGATGTTGAGTTTTATTTCCAGTTTCCTGCCCTAGTCTGAGAAGGCACAAAATTGGAGAACAGTCTCTTGTGAGATTTACTGTATAATACTGTGCGGCAGAAAGGCACGTCTGGTGAGGCGTGGGGGGCTGTGGATGGTGGATGCACTAATAGGGTCAAAGAAAGAATGACTTACGGATCCAGGGCAGGGAATAAGAACACAGAGGAATATAACCATGATTTGTTTAGCTGGAATTTGCCCTAATCTATGCTCCAGTTAGTCAGTAAATGTTCTTCCTGTCTCTAACTGTCCTGGTTGGAATCCAGCAGCTTGGGTTGGTACTCATGCTGCCTGGGAGATGGACAGGAAGAAGAGCTGAGCTGCTTGGAACAAGTTGACGCGGCCTGGAATCCACAGACTCAGTGAACCAGCCGGGTAACAGAGGGGCCAGTCTTCAGCCTTGGGGAAGTCACTCTCTTCGAACTTGGATTTCCTGTCTGTAGTCTTGGGAAGTTGTTCCTGACCCCATAGAGAATAAGTATTATGTCTGAGTTTTCCTGGGTGTGAGGCTCGTGTGTGGAGTGTCTGAACCCCCACCAGTGATGTTTCAGCGGTGAAGATTTAGTTGTCGTCTTTGTTGGAAGGTCCTCCTGGAAGCTTCAGCCTGGACAAATAGAGGCATGCCGTCAGGGCTTGCTGGGGACAGAGCTGCAAGGTGGCCTTTCAGCAAAGTGTTTTTGGGGGACTTGTGCTAAGAAATACGGGCATGGGGAGTCACAGCAGTGAACTGGCTGTTCTTGGCGTCAGCAGCGGGCTTTCCCTGTATTTGAGACTCAGTACTAGGACAGCGAGGTTGAGCAGCTGAGACGGTGGGACGTGAACGGAGCTCAGATGCCCAGAGATGCTTCTCGTTCCTCAGCCCTTTGAGGAAATGTCTGAGAAGAGCCACAGGAGTGGGGAGGTTAGTTTGGCCCATAGTTGCTGAGGTTTCCATCCATTGTGGCTGAGTCCATGGCAGTGGGCCTGCGGTGAGGCAGAACCATGGGATCATGGGACAAAGGAGGCCACTCAGCTCAGGGCTGCCAGGAAACTGAGGGAGACAGGGGAAGTGGAAGAGAAAGGTACGGCCTTCGAAGGCACACTGCCAGTGACCTCCTTCCTCTGACCAGGCCCCATGTCCTACTTTCCATCATCTCCCAATAAGGGCATCACATTAGAAATCCATCAGTGGATGTATCCATGGATAAAGCCAGGCCCCTTGAGATCCATTCACTTCCCCAAGTCTCATCAGCTGATACCGGAGCCTTTGACCTATAAGACTTCAGGAGATATTTTGGATTCAAACCAGCCATGTCCAGGCCAAGGAAGGAACTGGATCTGGGTGGGTTGCATTGCTTCCGTGAGATCCCTGGTCTTGGCTTGGTGCCTACAGGTGCCAGTCTGTAGACAGAGGCTCAGTGGGGAGCAGGGTTACATCTTAAAGTGATTCTCAACTAGAACAATCAAATATTACCTCCAGGGATGCATATATATTTATGTACATGCAGGCCTTTCTGTCATGATGTTTTTCAACTGTTCAGTAAGGTATAACCTATATTAAGGCCCAAACTCAAGTACAGGCATCTATTACAGTGTAAAACGGCCCTACTCCAATTGATACTTGGAGCTTCGTCTCTTGTTCATTCATTCATTTAACAGTCACCAAGTGCCTCCTCAGTATTGTATATAAAATATATAAAATTGTATATGCATCTAATAGGTAACCTGCTGCTGGCCAAGTACGGCCCCTCCTCCACCAAGGGGCTCCTTCTAGGGAGAACAGTGACAGCAGACTGAAGAGAGGCCTGGTGTTGAGTAAACCTGTGCTGTATTAAAAAGTGAATAGACGGCTGGGCTGTGGTGGCGCACGCCTTTAATTCCATTTAATCCCAGCACTCGGGAGGCAGAGCCAGGTGGATCTCTGTGAGTTCAAAGCCAGCCTGGGCTACCACGTGAGTTCCAGGAAAGGTGCAAAGCTACACAGAGAAACCCTGTCTCCAAAAAAAAAAAAAAAAAAAAAATGAATAGACAATAAGTGGGTGAAGCAAAGGGAACAGTGGGTAGCCCAGAGTAAGGAAAAAAGACCTCTAGGCCAGCTTGTGTGCATGAGACCCAGGATTTGATCCCCAGCAATGCAAAAAAAAAAAAAAAAAAAAAGGAAGGCAAAAGTAATAGTAATTAACTTCCCTATATACCACACCGGGGACTCTGAGGAGAGTCAGACACCCCCTCCCTTCATCGGTTAGTGATGCAGGGAAGCATTTTTGTAGAAGTACAGATGCCAGGGGCTACAGTGGCAATGTCTCTGTCTGGGAGTCAGCAGAGAGAGGGGTCCTGGGAAGTGGCCTTTGTACTGGAATGTGAGGGGTGGGTAGAAAGGGCAAAAATAGAGTAGATTGTGCCAGCCAGTGAGGTGTGGAAATCAGGTTAACGTCAGCAAGACCTATTCTAGATACTGCTGAGAGAGTCGAGGCTTCCTCCAGCATTTGCTAAGAAGCAAGACTCCCTCCAGTCGTTGCTGGAAAGCAAGGTCCTTCTAGCTTTTACTGGCAACCACGGCTCCCTCCAGCTGTTGTTGAGAGTCAAAGCCCCCTCCAGCTGTTGATGAGAAGCACGACTCACTCAGGGGAGGTCCTGGTGGCCAGATGGTCAAGGGGCTGGGACTGGGGCTGGTGGCCCCTCCCCTGCAGCTCACTCAGGATAGGGTCGGAAGGAGAAGGTTTTGGGTTTTTTTTTTTTTTCCACTATTGAGACTCTGAGCCCTTCTGCTTATGTCCCTTCCGCTGTCTTCCCCGTAAACATCCTGCCCCAGCGGCAGCTCCTGACAGACTGTTTATAGTCAACACCGTATGTGGTTTCCAGAACCAGACCTAAGCCTTTAGACACAGCTGGCTTCTGTTGATCAGTTATCTGCCAATTCTTCACCTGAAACAGCTCTTGAATCTCCTCCCCACTCCTCTGGTCCCAGCTTTTTCTCCTCACCATCGTCCGTAGGCTAGCTTCCTTCCTAATTTGCCACGAACTGCTATGGAGAGGTACAGGGTGGGTATGTGGTTAGCAGTGTTTCCCAGAAAGATACATAGTCCAAACCCCAGGGCCGATCCAGCCCATTACTCTCATCTTCCTGACTCCGGGTGGATGCATACTTCTGATTGGCCGGGACTCATTATATCTGACATCCTGATGAGCAAATCTAAAGTTTACCTGGGCTAGCAGGGGAGACCAAAGCCTCTCCATGATGGTTTATATATCCTCCCTAGGGCTGTCTCAGGCCAGTTAATATGGTGGCAGAATCAGCCCCTCCAGTGAGGAAGTGGATTTGTTGCATGAATACTGTTTTGGGTGTATGTATCCTGAAGGTGGAATCTGGGGCCTCCTGAATACTGAGTATGTGCTCTACTGCTAACACCCCAGTTCCTGTCTCATTCTGTGTTTGAGCCCTTGTGCTCCATCTGCATCTATTTACTGCTGTAAAGTCAATCTTAGGATCAAAATGTGGAGAAATGACCTCTACTTGTGAGAGAAGGCAGAACCGCTGTGAACACAACCGCTGTGAATACCGCTGGTCTGGGAAAAGTGGGACCCTCTCTGCAATGACCGCCATTGGTGGGACAGTGTAGACGGGCTCCTGCTCTCTACTGCCCTTGTTGTACTAGGCTAATTTTCATGCTCTCCAAATTCATAATATGGGAATCTTTGGGAAGATGACCTTGGTGATGTCAGGAATGCGTTGCAGAGAGCTGGAGACCAGCAAAAGCCCAGTGAGTCTCCACTGTTACCCATTATTATCCAATAATCCTCTTAAACTTTCACGATTGCATTGTTTTTTCCTGGTCCTTGTGGACCCTTCTCTTAAGACTTATAAAGTGGCATCTTGCTGGGCGGTGGTGGTGCACGCCTTTAATCCCAGCACTCGGGAGGCAGAGCCAGGCGGATCTCTGTGAGTTCGAGGCCAGCCTGGGCTACAGAGTGAGTTCTAGGAAAGGCACAAAGCTACACAGAGAAACCCTGTCTCAAAAAAAAAAGTGACATCTCACGTGTAGTTGTGGCTAACATCCCATGCCCCTTTCCTTTCACATCCTTCTTTCAGGCCAACTTGGTCACTTCCTCCTCTATTCTCCCCAGTGTCCCTTACAACCTGTGTCCCATTGCCTGGCATTTTCTGTGCCGTCGTCTGTCTCCCACCCCTTGCAAGCAGGAGGTCTGAGATGGTTGTTTTGTTCTCCCTACTCTGATCATGGGCCAATAGTGCTGCTGGAATCCCCTGTGGAGTGTGAATGTTTGGGTGGGCTAGTCAGTGAGTGGAGTCCTTGCCATTGACTTGAGTCATATCAGAAAGGCCTCAGATGGGATTAATGCCAACACTAACTTCCTCTCTGCGTTCCATTCTCAGACTTGACTGTGATGAACTGAAAATGCCTTCAAGAAGGAACTGGCACCTGCCGGGGCTGTGCTGAGAACGGTGCAGAGCTGTGCAGCCGGACAGTTGTATCTGTGAGCCAGAGGCAGGCAGTGGCTCAGCCTCCTGAGGTGAGTGACTGATGTCCCCCACGTGAGGGAGATGTGCTGTCTTTTCCAAACTCTCCCACGAGGCTATGCTGTGGGTTGCATTGGGGGATGAGAAAGTAGGCTGTCTTTTTCCACACTTGGAATTATGTTGAGGGATTGGATTGGGGATGAGACATGTGCTGTGTTTTCCAGGCTCTCCTGTGGGTTATGTAGCAGAGCAAGGGGTGGTGCCCTGTTTTCTTAGACTCTTTGTGGTGTGGCCTGCCTGCCATGTGGAGCATTGCCCACAGAGGGGATGCATCCTCCCTGTGAAGTACAGAGTGAGCTGGCTTCTCATGAAGAGCTTTGCAGTTCTCATAGAAACTCACAAGAGACACCTGAACTGTGAACATTCTTCCATGACAAGTGGCCGTCACTACAAATAAGGCTTGACCTGTCACTGCTGCATTCTATGTCAAGTGTTATGCGATGGCTCTGAGGACAAACCTGATGAGACCCACTTGATTTCTGTCCTGGGCATCTAGATCTGAAGATGGCGTATCTGTTCTGTGGAATCAATGTTCTGTCAGTGCCTCGAAGCCTCTCAGGGGAGAATGGTGTGGCAGCCACAGTGAGATCCTGCATGTATGAATTCCTACCCTACATTGTAAGCAGAGTGCTAGCAAAGATGTGTATATCTGTGTAAGACAAACACATGCATTTATATACGTATAAATACACATCCATATCTGTACACGTCATCCAGGTTATTACTGGTAACTTTTCTCCTCACTGACAAAAGCAGCTTAAGAAAGGGCTTATTCTAGCTCATGGTTTGAGGTATAGTCAGTCTTTTGTGGCAGAGAAGTTATGGTATCAGGAGCGTGAGGCAGCTGGTCACATGGCATCCACAGTCAGGAAGCAGCGGGGATGAATGCCGGTACTCAGCTTGCTCTCTCCTGATTTAGTTCAAGACTCCAGCCCATGCATGGGTACCACCGCGATTAGGGTAGACATACCCATTCCCGCTTCAACTAATTCAACCTAGAAGCTCCCCCCACCTCCATAAAGACATGCCCAGGGGTTAGTTTCTATGGCAGTTCTAAACCTCATCAAGTTGACGAGCTAAAGCTTTGCGTTGACTTATCTGCATAGTCACCGTGTCAGGAGGTCTTGCTGATGAAGCTGGAACATCCATGAAATTCCAGTCTATATTGACATTAAATGGCTCAGTACTACTCCAACTACCACACTTATTGAACTGTCAGTCCTGCCACGTTGCACAGCCACGGAGAGCAGCCACGCACAGTGAGCACCCGTCTTGACTGCTGTGCTCGGATGGAAAGGCCCGGGAAGGCTTCACAGATGAGAAAGAAAACCCAGAGCAGGGGGTGAGTGTCACAGACACGTCCCTTCTTGCTGTCGCCAGATACCCGACAGAAGCGACCGAAGGGAAGGTAGATTTATTTTGGCTTATGGTTTCAGGGGACATCGTGGTGGTGAAGACAAAATGGCAGGAATGGCTTCAGCTCTGGCAGCAGAAGCTTGCTCACATCTGGGCAGGACCTAGAAGCTGGAGAGAGAGTCAGGGTAGGAACTAGAGCTGAGCTGTAACCTATAACCCCCACCACACACACATGTACTCTCCACCCCCACCTACACCCACCCACCCCACCCCCACATACCTCCCATCCCCACACACCACACTACCCCCCCACCCCCACCCCCACTTACACACCCCCCCACACACACACACACTTACCCACACACATACCACCCCCCCATACACAGTGTCACCACTTCCTCCTACCAAGCTGTATCTTTCAGAAGGTTCCACAGCCACATCTTTTTTTTTTTTTTTTGGTTTTTCGAGACAGGGTTTCTCTGTGTAGCTTTGGAGCCTGTCCTGGAACTCACTCTGTAGCCCAGGCTGGCCTCAAACTCACAGAGTTTTGCCTGCCTCTGCCTCCCAAGTGCTGGGATTAAAGGCGTGCGCCACCATCGCCCGGCCTCCACAGCCACATCTTAAAGATTCCATAATTCCCCAAATGGAGCCACCAGCTGAGGACCTATGATTCAAACATGTATGACTCGAGAGGGCATTTCACCTCCAAACTTTAACAATGGTGTCTTAGTTAGGGTTTCTATTGTTGTGAAGAGACACCATGATCGTGACAACTATTATAAAGGAAAACATTTAACTGGGGGTCTTGCTTACAGTTCAGAGGTTCAACACATTATCATCATGGTGGGGAGCATGGCAGCATACAGACAGACATGGTGCTGGCTTCATCTTGATCAGAAAGTAACAGGAAATGGTCTCAGACACTGGGCATATCTTGAGCATAGGAAACCTCAAAGCCTGCCTCCACAATGACACGCTTCCTCCAATAGGACCATGCCTATTCCAACAAACCCGTACCTCCTAATAGTGCCTCTCCCTGTGAGCTTATGGGGACCAATTCCATTCACACTACCACAAGTGGGAAAGTGTTTTTTCCCCACGCTTACAGGTCTCAGGCCCTGGCAGTGGCCATCTGGATCCTGTTGATGGACACCTCTCCCATATATGACCCATGTATATGGTTCAGAGCACCCAGACACGGTCTTGTAAAGGAAAGTACACAGACCACACCTCGCAGTGTGTGAACACAGTGTGAACGCAGCACGTGGCTTCTTGTCCTGACCTCAGAGTGGGAGAAAGACTTGAGGATTCTCTTCCCTTGTCCTGGATTGACCTGGTGGAGCTGCATGAGCAAGGAAGCCTTAACTTAAGCACAGCTGTATTCCCAACATCACTTGACAAACACTAGCTTCCCTCATGTATCCACAAGTGTTTCTGAGTTCTTGGATGTGTGCCGGATGCTGTTCTAGACCAAGACACAGAGAGTTCACATCCAAGCCAGGAGTGGCAAAGGGGAACAAGGAAGTGTGCATAGAAGTGGCAGGATAGTGGGCAGGGGCTCACGGTTATGGAGCACCGCAAGTGTGTGGGCACCAGAGGTCTGTGCAGGTGCCTGTGGTGAGCCTGACCCCACTGCTGATGGGTGAGAAACACTGGAGAGAAGACAAGGACCGTCTGTCTCATGACAGGAGTGTTTCTTCCTTAGTAGGGACTATGGCCCTGTAGAGATCCAGGCCTCTTCCTGCCCCCACACATTCAGGCAGGGTCACGTGCACGAAAGCTCTCAGGGCTAAGCTATTTCCTCTAAAAACAATAGGCTGTGTTATCAGCCAGACCAGAGACAGCCTGCAGGCCAGGCTCCCAGTAGCTGAGATAAGAGGGCATGGTGGCGGTCCCCAGATCCTGACCTGGGTGGAGTGGACCTTGGGGAATTTCCTTTGTTGATAGCCCTTGAGAAGAAAGTGGCAGTGTCAAGAGCACGTGCCCCTTCCCTGGAAGAGGGGCGACACAAGCGAGGGCGCATCTTTGCATGTCCAAAAGGCTGCCGGATGGCGAAGGAGCTTGTACAGGGGATTTACTGCGTGAAGCCAGTGGATGAGTGAGTAGAAAAAGAAGATAGCCTTTGTTTCTGTCTGTGCTTCCTCAGTTTCTTGACAAGCATTGGTGGGCACCTCCAGCCCTGAGGCTTTGCTGGACACTGGAGGTGAAAGGAGTCAGCAGGCGTCACACCCCTGGCATGCTGATAACCCAGGCAGGGAGAACTAGATAGATCCACCAGTTAGTAGCAGGCACAGGGCGTAGTTCTGGCTTTGTGGAGCCTGAGCCATGTACAGTTTGGAGTTCTTCGTAAAGAAATAATATATTAAGTCATAGATATAAAATAAAATATAAGCCTTGATAAGCGGGGTTCTCTGGGGACGGGGTACCACTCTCCTGGTGTGGGCCAGTCTCAGTCTCCAGTGGATTTGCCACTGAGGGACTATCAGGCCTTCTCTCCTGGGTCTCTGGAGCTTGTAGGTGGGGAACAGGTTATCAGCTAATGCCTGGACATATGCTCAGAAGGAAGGCCATTGGGAGGACAGGAACATCCACACTAGCGTTTGGTAACATGGGTGTTCCTGTCTTTATTTTCTGCCTGATGAGATGGGATAAAGTCTTTTGTTCCCTTTGTGCTGATGGGGCTGTTCAGCAACACAGTCTGTCTTCAGGCCAACCATGGTAGTTTGAGAAAGTCTGGGCCCCCAGAGGTTCATGTATTTGAATGCTTAGTTACCAGGGAGTGGAACTGTTTGAGAAGGATTAAAAGAATTAGGAGAGCCCAGCACTCTGGAGACAGAGCCAGGCGGATCTCTGTGAGTTCGAGGCCAGCCTGGTCTACAGAGCGAGATCCAGGACAGGCACCAAAACTACACAGAGAAACCTTGTCTCGACAACAACAAAAAAAAAAAAAAAAAAAAAAAAAGAAGAAGGAAGAGGAGGAGGAGGAGGGTTAGGAGATGTGGCCTTCTTGGAGGAAGTATGCTGCTGGGGGTGAGCTTTGAGGTTTCAAAAACCCACACCAGGCCCAGATTCTCTCTCTCTCTCTCTCTCTCTCTCTCTCTCTCTCTCTCTCTCTCTCTCTCTCTCTGCCTGTTGCCTTCAGATCAGCACATAAAGCTCTCAGCTACTGCTCTAGCACCGTGCCTATCTGCTTCTTGTCTTGATGATCATGAACTAACCCTTAAAAACTCTAACTCTAATTAGATGTGTTCTTTCAAAGGAGTTGCTTTGATCGTGGTGTCTGTTCATAGCAACAGAAAAGTAACTAAGACACTGACCTGGTGATCCCACTTCTGGGCTGTATCCTAAGGACCAGCTGAACCACAGAAGTCCTGAGCTGAGTAGGGGTAGAGCATGTGGGAGTACCTCCAAAGGCTTGGTTGGAGGTCATTTCTCAAAACACATGGTCTGTCAATGTGGGAACAAGCTACGAATAAGCCAGGTGCACCCCCGCTTATCAAGCACTTGTATTTTGTTTTAAATATGTGACTTTGTATAGCGTTTCCTTAGAGATAACTCCAGACTGCATAAGCCTTTTAGGGAACAGAGGCACAGGGTGGTTGAGTAACGTACCCCCAGGCACATACATGACTGAGCT